GGGAGAGCTGCAATTGCTGATTTCCATTGTAGTGTAGAATTTCTGAAATCAGTGATGCTTGAATTTGAGTCACCAATGCAGTAACAAGTGCCTGTAATGAAGTTCTGGATTTAGTTTAGGCCAACCTATCCCATTTTCTTTCTATTTTACTTTCAAAATGTTAGATTCTTACCTCAGTTCTGCTAAACTAGATGAAAGGCATTATCTTTCAAAGTCCTTCAGAATGTTGAAGTAGAGAGGGGATGGGGTGTGAATAGGGAGGTCTAGTGATAGACTTACTTGGCTTGTTCTAAATATTTATCTGATTAATATATCTTTTTGCTCCCTGAGTTTAGTGGCATAATTTACTGGGTGGAGAACTTATTTAGTGCACACCAATCTTGCCTTCTACTACCTTATCTTTTCCTCATCGATTTTGCCTTCTACAATCTTATCATTTCCTCTTACTGTTGATCTATATTTAGATAAATTGACTGACTTCTCTGTTAATGCAAGATCATTTTAAAACCTCCAAACATACCCTCGGCTTTAAGGGAGAAAGTATGACACTAGAATGAAACCATCGTCTAATGTCCTGTGCTTGATGCCAACAGAAGATTGTTTATTGAAAGAAACATTGAAAACTAATGCATTATTCCCAGCTTGTATTTCACTTGAAAATCTTTTTCTTTTCTAGTGTTCTTTGCTTTGTTCTGTATTTCATATTCTTCATCATCAATGAGAATAAAATTGATCGAATTTTGTCTTACAATAATTTAAGCTGCCTGATGAGGTCTTGAATTTTATGATGGAGACGTGCTTATGCTCTGATGCTTTTGCAGATGCTATTGGATACCCAAGCTGTTAAGACTATCCTTCTAGAAATTCCTTCCCTTGGTAGACAGGTGATTTAGCTCATGCAAATGCAAATTTGTAGTCACAACAATTATATTCTGTTTGGGCGCATGTGTCCCCTGTGTTGATTTCTGAATCACATATTTTTATTACTTACTTTTCGGACTTCTATGGCACTGATTTCACTTACTTTACTGGTGACATATTGATGGCCTTCCTGGCACTTCCTTGATTTAGTTTTGAGCAGAGCAATATCTACTGATAATTAAACTTCCCAAAAGAACAAGCTTTTTCATGACTATTGTTTGATATTGGAATCAATCGAATGATGATGATTGGAAAATGAAATGTATTAGTTTTATTGAATTTAGGGAATGACAGATGGCCAGATAGTTACCTTAGTTTGTGCGGTGCAAATCATTAATATGAAGTAGCTACAATAGAGAGGAATTGTCGCATTTTCTGAATTAATCCCAAGATCAAGCAGGAAATGAAAACTGGCTCTGTTGAAATGCTTGGAAGATAATCTAATTTGTGGGCTAGACAAAGGTTACCAGCCTGCAATCTATGATTTTGACGTACTTCCTCTGGTTCTTATTATAAGAGCCCTTTTAGGAGAAATTTTTGGTCCTTTCTCAATGAGTATCAAATACCTTTTTCCACGTATACCCACATTTAATGAGGGTAGTGAGAGAATAGAAATTAATTTAATGTTGGAATTTAGTGTAATTAATGAGAGTAAGATTGGAGATTACTTAATTTTATGACAAATTTATTGCTTTTAACTCTTTTTATTGGTACGTGTGAATTAGTCAATGGATTCTTATTAAAAGGACCCATGGGAGTACTTGGCTTGGCTGTGTTAAATAGTATGGAGCATTGTATTCTTAGTCTTCACACGTGCAGTTATCTTGTGCTTGTCAGGGGCTTGTTAATTGTTCGCTGATCATCCTGACTAACTTTTGATTTTCTGCAACAGACATCAGGTGCTGCTAGCTATTCGAAATTTGTAAGTCGTGAGATGAGCAAAGCAGAAGCCCTATTGAAGGTTTGTTATTAGTTAGTTGGAAGATTGGAAGACTATTATTTCATGCACGTCTAGATTTCTCCCTGATTCAAGGTTGTGTTGTGTAAATCACTCTGTTTAGGTTATTCTTTCGCCCGTTGATTCTGTAGCAGATACATACCGTGCACTGCTACCTGAGGGTACACCCATGGAGTTTCAGAGAATACTGGAGCTCAAGGTTAGCTCTTCTACTAACATATATTCTATTGCATTATTTCTTTGGCCTGGTCTGAGATGAAAGATTGAGGGGGCCATCATCTTTGAGTAAGTCAAGGTCAAGGACCTGTGATAAGTTACTTCTAATTGGGTACATAAACTGCATTTTATATGGCTATATTAAATGCAGGATAAAATGAAATTACAGTGAGCCCACTGCTAAAATTTTTTCTTAATCATAGTTTAACAATTGAGGATATATGCTTTTCATATTCCGGCAATGTTATTGCATTGCAAACTCTTAAAAGTATAACGAGAAGAATAGTCTTGAAAAGAATAAGTATCATAGTGCTCAGAGTCTGTGGCATTAAACATTACTATTTGGTAATTTGGTGTATGTGTTAGTAGATTCAAAGGAATCTCTTGATTAAAAGCTACAACCCTTAACAAAGTTCACTGCTTAGACTGACAAATAATATTACTACTACTACTACACTACTAGTATGTTTAGGAAGTTTATTGAAGTATTGACTGACTGACATTGTAAATTACACTCATTGGTATGATTCTATAGAGCATCAATCCTTTCAAAGGAACATTAAGTCTATTGTACATAAAATTTGAAGTGTCAATGAGCAATTTCAATGAATCCCACGAAACATTTACGACGAATATGTTCTCACAATCTAATGTGGTTGACTGAATTCAGACTGACCATTCAGCTGTTCAATTGGTTAAATATCTATACTTGATTCATTCTCATCTTCGTCGATGATATTATGATGCAAAGTTTTTTGAGTTTTAGATGTCCAAGATTGTTTTATGCAAGTTATTCATCTCGAGACTCCAGATAACTTTTGTGGCATGGTTTCAGGGACTTAAAAAGGCTGATCAGCAAACCATTCTTGATGACTTCAACAAACATGGGCCTGGAATAAAGCAAACTCAGATTCCACCGGCAGTTTCCCAGGCTGCTCCAGTAGCTCCAGCAGGGCCTAGTCCTATTTCTGTTGGACTTATGGCTTCTAGGGAGGATGTGCTTACCAGGGCTGCTGCACTTGGACGAGGAGCTGCCACCACAGGGTTCAAGAGATTCCTTGCTCTAACTGAAGCTGCCAAAGATCGGAAGGATGGACCTTTCCGGAAATTATTAATGCATAGGGAAGATTGAAGAGATTGTCATGTAAACATTTTCTTTGAAAAAAAATTGGGGGTGGAAATCAAACCCCTTTCGTCAGTTATATTGTTCTAGCTTTTTCCCCCTTCACTGATTCTTGATGTAATTCTACTGTCCATATCTATTTCCTTAGTCTACTGGAAAGCGATTTTGTGGACGGAAAGCCCCATCAAATTGCATATTTTTTGGTGGCTTGTTCAGTAGCTTTCGCCTGTTACGCTATCCTTGTATTTTTTGTTTCGTCATAAATTTTTGCAATTCTGTGTTCTCTTGTTTTTTGTTTTTGGAAGTTGTTTTGAATATGTGCGCAAACTGCACAGTGAGGCTTATCTCGTTTACATTCCCCCCCCCCAAAAAAAAAAAAAACACTTCAGGCACTTTAGCATGGCAAGTTGATCCTAAAGACCTAAACATGTAGATTGTAATTCTGCTCAAAATTTGGAATGAGTTGATTTAAAGTTGTGTTCTAGCTGTTCATAATACGCAATACAGATTATTAATTGTTCTTGTATATTTCATTTTACTCCCCTGAGGTGACTTGGAATTCTGTGGACATATTCGTGTATATCGATAAGGGAATTACTAGTAGTGTTCTTATAGTGAAGTAAAACAACGAATCTCACTCGTAAATTGACGGTTAAAAAGTTACAAATTAGAAAATAAGAATATCAAATCCCTAAAAATCAATATTTTTTACAAGTTAAATGGTTCATTTTCTTTCATTGATTATTACAAAAAATAAAAAAACAAATCTTAGTTGCAAATTAATGATTGCAAAGTTGCAAATTAGGGAATAAGAGTATCAAACCATTAAAAGTCATAATACCTTTGATAAGTCAAATGATTCATTTTCTTTCACAAATCAACGAATCTCACTTGCAAATTAATGGTCACAAAGTTGCAATTAAGGAACATGAGCATCAAACTACTAGAAGTCATGAAAATTATTCCTCCTCCTTCGTAAATAGACAATTCTCACTAGTAAACTAGTAGTGACAAAGTTGTAAAAGGGAAATATATCACATGAGAAGTTATCGTATCCTTAAAACATACATTTTTTTATTTTCTCATAAATAGACGAATATGACTTGCAAATTAGTGGGTCTGAAATTGCAAATTAAGAAAAAGGAGTATCAAGCCGTTAAAAGACTTTTGATCCTTATTTTGGTAATTTTCAAATTTTATGGCTCTATTATTAAACTAGTTCCCTCCCATCCCCTCTCTTTCCCCCAGTCCAGCATGAGTATAGTTCCCAATAGATTATATGTTATTCACTGCTTTTATTTTACTCTGCCCATTACTTGTTTTAGTTTCAAGTAGCTTCACATAAACATTTTTTTTGGGACCAAATCTTCATATAACGAAAATTAACAATTTATCAAAACATATTCATTTTTTTCCTTATATAAATGATCAATCATGACAATAATATTGAAAATAGTGTGGCTTCTTGGTAATAAATTCCAAAGTGCTTTTTCTCATTGCCTTTTTTTTTTGTTGCCAAAAAAAATTGAGGGCCCCAACCAAACAAGTGATAAAATGTGAGAGCGCACCCCTCAGAGAGATCGTGATGTGGATTTGAAATTCGGACCGTTGTGCAGTGCCAACGATAGCACAACGGTTAGTTTTCCTTCCTCTAGGACACGACCTTCACTCGTCCTCCCCCTCCGCCATTCCATCGTCGCTCACACCTTCTCTTCTTCCGAGATAGGTTGGCTTTCCTCTGAATTTGAGACTTCAAACTTCAATCCCTCCGTTTCACTTCCCTCCTCTGAAGAATATACTCCAAACGGAGTGAGAGAGAGACTCGGCGATGCCAAATCAATTCTCAAACCGGAACTTCGATTTGGTAATTCTTCAGTTTTCTTACGCTTTCTCTGTGAATTCCCGTCAAATTCTGGGAGAATTGAATTGTCGTAGATAAACTTACTCATCTAAGGCTATTTCCATTTTTTCGTCAATAGGGAAAGTGAATTGAATGTTTGGCTGTGCAAAAATTCTTCGAAGATGATTCAAGAACATAAGCAGCTCAAAGTTACAGAGAAGTCCAATTCCGCGATGGACATGGTTACGGATGTTGCGGCTCCTCCTCCACCTCCTCTTCCTCCGCCGCCGCCCTCGCCCTCTCATCAACGGCGGCCTAGGGTGAGGGAAGTGAGTTCTAGATTTATGTCTCCTGTGGTATCTTCTGTACAGAGGCGGCCACGGCAGCAGCAATCCGAAGTAGATCCCTTGAGTACTGCTGATGTGAACCGACCTATAGAAAATTCGGAAACTCCATTTCCTTTTGGATCTCAGTGTAAATCAAATGTAGTAAATACGACTGCCACTATACAGAGAAAACAACGAGCTGTGAAACTCTTTAAGGAGAATGGTGGAGGAGGAAGAGTTGAACAGCAACCTCCTCACCCTTCAAAGTCCTGTTCTGGGAGGATCGGAAATGGTTTTACCTCACCCTCCTTGAGACCGGACACTCCAACAGTAACTGTATCCTCAAGATACAGACTCACTTCGCATCAGCGTTCTGCTAGTATGAATGCCACAGCTGCTTCAAAACTATTGCAAGCAAGTGGGATGTCATCGGGAAGTCAATCTTCCACTGCAAATTCATTTAAGGGCAACATTGGTTCGCCCCAAAGGGAAACCAATTCAGTGTCTGGGGATACTTCTTCGGTATGCTCTGATGACGAAAATCATAGCAACTCGGAGGTCAACTGCAGCATACAGTCACTTCCAGAATTTCGGTCGTCTGTGCTGGAGGGAGAAATGTTGCCTGCTGTGTCTACTAGATCAGTGGATGAGAAAACTGGCAATAAGGGTGCTGTAAGAAGTAGTGGGGACAGTTTGAAATTCCCCACAACACCTTTCTCACGTTCTCTTAACCCGTCATTATCAGGCAGTGAGCATTACTAAATCATTCCATAAGGGGCAGTGAGAAACATGTGACTTCTCTTGTCAAGCAGTATGCAAATTCTGCAAAAGTTGGAGGTCTTTGTTTGCCCCCAGTAGCTCCGTGTCCAAAACCGGGGTAGATATAAAGAAAAGTAAAAAAGGTTCCAATCATCAGGAAATCGTGCATAGCCTGAGATTGCTATATAATCGTTATCTGCAATGGAGATTTGCCAATGCAAAAGCAGAATCCTCATTGAAAGCTCAGCAAGGAGAAAGTGAGGTGTGTAGCCTATGTTTCTTACCTAATAACAAGTTCATAGCTTAAGAGAAAACCTTTATTATTTGTGTGGGTAGTTCTAAACTTCTAGTGCTGTTGATTGAAGGAGAATTTAGCAGACATGATTTGATGATTGGCAAGATGTGGGTCTATAGTTTGTTTAAGCTATAGAACCTCATTACAGGAAAGGCTAAAGGCCTAAATGATATAGATTATAGTCTGAAAGGAAATTTTGTAATTTCCAGCAATCTCATGAAAGACGTGGCACAATGAATAAATCCGTGACATATGATCTATTGACAAATTTTTTCCACAGCTCATTTTAATTTTAGTTTATGTTGAGTCTTTTACTTAAAGTATAATTTTATGGCATAAGTACTGAGAACTTTTATACATGAAGGTATTATTGTGATTAACTATCCAGATTTTTGTTGCTTAACCATCTGGATTTCACTCTACGTGCATAATATGCACTTGATCTTTTAATCAGTCTGATTAGATTACAAGTCCTTTTATCCCATCTTTGGCATTTTGCTCACTTTTCTCTGGTTGCTTTCCCCTTCCATGTTTGGTAATTCTTGCAGAAAGCACTTTATTCTCTGGCATTGAAAATGTCAGAGTTACGTGATTCTGTGAACTTGAAACGCTTAGAAGTGCAGCTTTTGCAGAGAGCAAAGACTTTGTTAACAATTCTTGAAGCTCAAGTAAGACTTCCGATGCATTTTTTTTTGTTTTGTTGTGCATCTAATTTGTGCATAGGGCATGCCTTTTTGTTTTTGTTTTTTTTTTGTGCATATGCTTTTGCACTGGAAATTACATTACTCATGGCAGTATCAATACTAGAGTAAATTTTGTTTTTGCACATAATCCTAAGCAACTAATGTCTTCTAAAGGATGCATAAGATGCAGCTTATCCTGAGGCCCTGCTGATGTCCGTAGAGGGTCTAGATCCTCTCAGAAGCCTTCTTTCTCCTTTTTTTCCCTCAGAATTTGATCTCCACCTTTGGATCAAATAATGAATAGTTCAGATTTCATACTTTATAGAACTATTATATAACATTGCATAAATAGGAGAGGGAAGGTGGACCTCTGCTTTTTAAAATATTAAATCTGAACCATCTATTATTTAATCCAACGTTGGAGATGAGATTCTAGAGAAAGAAAAGGAGAAAGAAGGATTGAGAGGATGAGATCCGTCTGTCGAGTCACAGATGCAACAAATGTTAATACCATGTACTTGGTGTTTAATTTGTGGATAAGACGATGCTAGTTTTTTTTTTTTTTTGGGTACAAAGAAGATGATTCTATATTTTGTTCACGATAAAAATACTTCTGGGAATTATTATTACTTATTGTGTGTATTACTACTTAAGTCTATAACCTTTTCTTTGAACGTCATTTTAAGAAACTAATATCCTCTAAAGCTATCTCTTTGAAGAGTAGGGCCAAGTTAATTGTCTAATACATATCATGTCTGTGACTGTAATTTTAAGAAACTAGCATCCTCTAAAGCATGCCTCTTTGAAGAGTAGGGCCACGTTAATCTCTAAAACATATATATGTCTCATATTTTGTTTTCTTTGTCATGATTAGAGTGCGTTCTTGTTTTAGTTTCTTCCACTCCTCCCTTTTTCATTTGCTTTTTCTTAATCAAATTTAATCTTCTGTTTTGTTTCTTCAAGAATTCACATTTTATTTGACATAACGATGTCTATTTCTTTCCTCCAAGCATGGTTTTCCATTTATTTGTTTAAAATAAATTATTCCTTGATCATTCTTTTGGTCTTGTTAACTTTTTTTCCACTAATCGTATCACAGATCCCTCATTTGGATGAGTGGTCCTCTTTAGAAGTAGAGTATTCTATCTCCTTGACTGAAGCAATCGAGGCATTGTTGAATGCCTCAGTGCAACTTCCAGTAGGTGGGAATGTGAAGGTATGATTAGGAATCCTCTTCTTTTCTCTATTATCCATTCACACCTTTTTCTGAGGTCTCTGATATTGGATTTTATGCGTT